AGAGACGTCAGCTGGAGCCAAGGCGGGGCAAAGGCCGCGTAGGAACCTTGAGCGAACGACTAGTACAAGCTCAGAAGATGAACGGTAGGAGAAGTAGCTGCACAGGGTGTTGCACGTCTGTGCTCAATAGCCGACCTGAGGAGCGAGTGAATTTTATTCTGCAAGGAAGTTTTTGACAAAAATGTTAAAAAAAAAATGTTTAGGCTGATGCTTTTGAGGCAGGGGATTTCCTTTAGATCTGTCTTGTAAATGGAGTTGCCACGATTTTAACTGAGGAATTTTTGTCTAACTCTGTATCCAAAATAACAGGCACAGAGGTGCTCTCGCACGTCTTAGAGTAGCTAAAGGTGGAATTCAGGTAAATACTTGTCTAATCCCTACATTATTTACCTGTTGATATGAAATATGATTTGGTTGGAACTTTTGCCACTTCTATTTTTATAAATACATTTTTTTACTATAAAGTTGATGATGGATTATATAAAGTCAGTACTAGACACTCTAAAATAATTAGATTATTTTTGCATCTTCATTCATAAAGCTCAGTCATTCAAAATGGCCAAGGGCTTTGCTTTGGTTCGGCTATTTAAGCAATCACAAAGGTAAAGTTTAACGTTATTATTTTCACTTAGGCACATTCTGTTTCTATAATATATCAATATCACACATGCAGGCAGCAAAAATAAACGTTCATAGCCTTTTCTCAATGATTTTGGCAAGATGGTTGCAGCACCCCTGATTTTAAGGAACCCTTTGTCTCTGGTTTGGACTGTTTTACGGGATACGGTATCACCGTACTGTCTAACCTATATTCCCAGTAATCCTTTAATAGCAACTAATAATTGCATTTTTTACCATAGAGTACCAGTGGTCAGGGACTTGCCACCATTGTAAAAGGGAAGAAAAACATTTCTTGATCTGCCTCGTAACAAGAGCAAAGTATAATTAAACAGTTAAGAGACTTAGACAAGCATTTATCTCTTTTGCGTACCGCTTTCCAGTTCAGTCTAGGGTAGGGTAGCAGTGGTTGTTAGATTGCTGTTTAGGTGACATGCTTAGTAGGGCTGTAACTGCCTACTTAATAGTGAAGGAGGTTCAAAATTGCTAAAAATTAGCACTCTTCTTGCATGAACTGTTGCCTGTTGTCAGTAGAAGTTCTTCAATTTGAATATGAATCTGTTCTTCCAAGGTCCAAGAGCCAAGTTAAGTTTTCTGGATTAGGTGGAAGCTCACGCTGCTGTTTTGTGGACAAATTGGAGTATTTTTGAAGTGTTGTGCTTGATATTTTACCAATAGGCGTAACAGTGAAAACTGACAGCGCAAAAACAAACAAAAAAGTTCTGTGTAGTACCCCAGGTAGGCTGCGAAAAAGACGGTGCGAAGGGGTGAGTATTTATAACTGTGTCTTTGCGTTTGCAAAAACCCCCTCGGGGTGGGGTGACGAAACACAACAAACAGAAAAACTACCATTGCCAGCAACCAGAGTTGAGGAGAAGGAAAAAAATGGTCTGTCTTTAATCCCTCTTAATCAAAGGGATCAAAAAGGATGTAAAATCCGCCTGCGTATCTCTCGAACCTCTCTTGCCCCCAGAGCTCTGCCGGGAGGTGCAGCAGGGCGGGAAGGGGCTGGCGCTGGTGGTGCTGCCGGTGGCGCCCGTCCCGCGGGCTGAGCCCCTCGCTGACGCAATAAACGCTCTGGCAGCGTGTTATTAGATAGTAGCGTACGACTTCACGTCTTTGTACTAATTGCTGCCTTCAATTACACCGTTAAAAGTTATGATATGGCCGGTGTTAAAGTAAACTTGATTTTCCCTCCGTTATCCCCACGGACGGAACGTGCTTGTATGGAGAATTAAAGCCTGTCGCAAGTGACCTCTGAAGCATTTAGGCGTTAACAGTAGGTTCAGGGTAAGTCCCTCTTCTTAGGGGCTTATAACTTACCTGTAAATATTAATTTCAGATCAGTTGCAGCACATCCACTCTTGGCACGATGGCACGTTGCTTTGCCAATTTACCATGCAATTGGCAGGGCTGGGAGTAAGGTGCAATTCTGAGGTTTTTGACCAGCAAGTCCATGGGAGGAAAACATCCAAGAAGTCAATCACCTATCGCCTGTCGTTAAACCCTCCCAACTACCTTTGTGGTCCCTGGGTGGCCACGGACACGGCAGCTGGAGGTGGGAATGGGTCCTCAGGGCTGTGGAGACTTGGAAACCCAAGTCGGTCGCAGGTCTCTCCCTTCCCCGTCCTTCAGTCTGCCGTCATCCCCACCATCCCGGTGCAGCTCCAGCTCCCAGTGGGAACTGGTGAGGTGTGCATTTGGATGTAAAATCTGACAAATTATTGGTCACTTAAATGAGAAATGGCATCCAGCAACACGAGTTGCTCTGTGGTGGCGATAACGCATGTTCCTTGGCAAGAGGGCGGACCGGAGCTTGCTCTCCTGGAGGGTGAGCGCCGGTGCGCGCTGCCGGTGGGCGCGGAGGGAGGAGACACCCTCCGATATTCCCAGGCACACGATGTAGTTCGGTTCAGCCATTGCTCCGCTGGCGTCTGCCGCCCCGGGATGGCGCGGGCATCCTCGGCTCGCGGAGGTATGAAGCGTTTTCATCTAAGGAGAGAATTTGTGTGTGTTAATTTTTATGTGCGTATTTTACAGCACTTTATAATGATACTTAACAGCATAAAATGTTGGCATGCGCTGAAAATTGGTGAAAGTTCAGCCATCTAATTTGGGCAGGTTGTGCTTACAGGCACTCACACTTGCAGACAGTTTAATAACAGTATTTGGCACTGTCTCTTAGAGCTGCTTAAACTAATTAATGCATTTGCTCCCTACAGGATGAAATTGAGTTTTCAGATACATTTATAAAATGATGTGCATGATTGCTAAGTATTTCATTCTTTTGAACTATAACTTCGAGTGTTTTATGTGGGTGCAGAGACAGTATATATTCTCCCATGAAAAATGTACAGTGGCTCTGGAAAGAGGATAATCTCTGCCCCTGCTTGTCAGAAGAGGATAATCTCTGTCCCTCTTTTAGCATGTTAAAAGCCACTCGATAATTCGGGCATCGCTTGGCACGGTGATGCTCTTGCTGGGGGGGCTCTGGAGCTGCCCCGTCCCCCCGCGGCCGCTCGGAGCTCCAGCGCAGGCTGCACCCGCTTCTCCTCTTATTCCTACAGGTTTCAGAAAGTCACGGGTCCGTCACGTCCCAGCACACCACCTCCCCTGCCAAAAATGAGGGGGAAAAAGGTGATTTTTTGGACTCGGGCCCCGGCAACGTGCAGTCACTGTGTTTCATTGATTTAAAAGATGACATCAGGCAATAATTCCCCGAGACCCCTGAGTAGGCGAGGTTAACACTAATCTTGCCGGCTTAAAAAGAAGGTTAAAAAAATAATAAGTAACAATTTGATGTGAAATAAACCTTTCTGAAGAAATCACAGTAAACAAAATCTGTTTGCCTAAGGAAACCCTCCTAGCAATCAGCTAGTAACACAACTGCTTGTGCTAATGAACCCAAAGCTGTTAATGTGGTTTCTTCAGTTAAATTGATTCATGAATTTTGAAGAGAACATTATCTAATGAATTTTCTTTGAATAGAAAGCAATTAAAAGGACAAATCAGTCTGATTAACCCCAAAGTCACCCTACTGCCACAAATGGTGTACAGTTTGAAATTATATCATAAAAAACTAGAGCAGATTTGCTATCTCTTTGCCCTCTACTAATCCATGTAAATTAATGAACAACAAAGTTAATTTCTTTGATGACCCTTTTCTCGTATCACCTGGATTATGCTGATGTTTAATTTGCTTAATGTTATAATAAAGACTAAACAGATTTTTTCAATGAAGTGATTATCATTCCCTTCAGTTAAGAAGTGATTTTTATTATTTAACACACACATAATGGTGTATGGGTTTCCTTTAAGAACAAAATCACATTTTGCTGTGTTCCTATGTAACGTAATCGATGTCTTTTTTGACAACTAAAGAAAGAAAATGTTTTTAATCAGTTTGTTTCTTTGCCAAAGCAGGAGACTGAAGCTCTCAGCTGGGGGAAGGGGCCTCTCTCCCTTTTTTTTTTTTTCCTTTTTTTTTTTTTCCTTTTTTCTTTTTTTTTTTTTATTCGCCAGCCCGCTCCTCTCAGTAAGTTATTCACTAGTTAGATCTTCAAAGCTTTTACAAGTGCCTTGGAAGAGCAATAGGTGTTCAACCCAAGTAAAATCCAAACGCGGCTATCAGTTTTCCTTTTGTAAAATAATCCTGGGTTGGGAAGGTAAAACCCTGAGATGCAGAAGAAAGCTGGTCCTAATGCATTTGCTTATTCATTATTTCAGCAATTGGAACACTTAGAAGCAATTTGCTGGTGAATTAAAATTAAAATAATGGAAGAGACATTATTTTTTTTCAGAGCCCTGTATCATTAAGGATGTGCCGTACATTCAAGGTCACAGCTAGTCCTTACATTTTGTAATGTCTGCGACGCTGAGCAGTAGCTTGGGGGTCTCGACTATAAAATGCAGTCAGCCAGGATAATACTGAGTCCGCTGGCTCTAGGGCTTCTTCTGCCGCGTGTCCCAGCTGAAGTTGGAAATTAGCTGGAGATGCGAGGGCTTTGTAAAATAGGTAGAGCCGGTTATTTCTTCCCTTTTTAATTTGACTCTATGCTAATTTATACTCTGCCAATTTAATGGAAAAACCACATTGTATGAGTTAACAGGATAATTGTACTTGAAGCAAATTAAAAATATAGGAAAATCAAAGCCTTAAATCCTTTTTTATAGTGATCGGTTACTTGAAGCGCTCTTTCTAATAATCATGTATTTAAATGTAGTAATATAGGATACAATAACAGGACAGTGCATCGGGGCTGTTTAAATTTAAATTAGAAAGCTGCTATTGAGACCCTGCTTTGCGTTGGGTTTTTTGCATATTTCATCTTGCTTTTTTTCAGCCATGCATGCGAACAGCATTCCCTTCGTCTTCTTTGCAGATTCGTTCACCAGACAAGTGTTGTGGACCCTGCTGAGAGACGTGAAGTTTGGCGAGGCCGTTTCCTACAAGCAATTAGCGGACCTCGCAGGCAACAGCAGAGCGGCGAGAGCGGTGGGAGGAGCGATGAGGAGCAATCCCGTAAGTTCACGTCAACTTTTAAATAAAGTTGATGGAAGATGGTGGATTTAGAGAGCTTTGCGGGCTAAATGTCATTAGTTTAAATTTATCTGCTATGAAAACTGGTCTACCATGAGTAATAAGGTCAGTAAGTGTTTTTAATCAGCAATAATGCACAACCCAGTTTAATGTGATTTATTCCCTACCATTTATGGCGTTAGATTTGAAAAAGAAACATTGCACTTCTTCTAATTCATCAGCCTCTACACATCTTGTTGTTCTCAAACTTTCTTATACGTTCTTAGGTGAGGTAAGTCTTTTATCCCCTGACACGGACCTCGTTTTGACAGGGTATGAGTAGCTTTGGTTGCGTTAACAGCAGTCCATCCTCTCTGGCGTGGATATGTTTCGGAAAATGTGGAAGAGGAGGGATTTTAAATCGTGTAGGTACATGTTTGAATCAAGTCCCTAATTGTCAATATGTTTTTTTCCCCATGCACTCCATACCAGCTGTACATGGCATTTCTCTATTAGATATAGGTGAGTTGCCTGAATTTAAACCAACTGGAGGGAGTAGCCCTCTAGGTTAGTCCTGTGGATTTTGGAAAAACAGTATGTTATAATACTCGGCCTCTTTGTCTGTCTTCCCAGTAATTATCTGTCCCTTTTAGGTGTCCAGGTTTAGATTTCCAGATGTATTTATGCACCTGAATCACACTGGTGGGACTGGTGGGACTGGTGCTGCAGCCTGTGGCCGACTGGTTCCTGTGCAAAGGAAAGGAAAAGCTGGTAAAGAGAACGCCACTATATCTGTCTTTACGCATTCATTACCTTGCTACTTGCCTTTAAAAAAAAAAAAAGAAAAAAACTTTGATTCCTATTAATATCATTGTGGCCTTTTTGGCCATTCTTCAACATATTTTCCCTCATTACCACTTGCCCTGAGCAACATGTGTCTTTCCATAGCCAAATTCCTCTCCTTTTCTCCAGCGTTATACCTGCTGTAATCTTTGACCTCCTGTGTTGTTTTTACATTCAGTCCTTTCGGTATTTTCTTTAATGAGGTACATATGAGACTGCAACGTGTAGTTGCAAAGTGGGTTAAGAAATCTGTTTTCACAAGAGCTGGTAGCTTTACATATAGAAATAATAAAGGTGAGGGGGATTTGCAGTGCCACATATTATCTTTATATTTCACCTCATTCATAAAATCAACCTGCATGTTAGGCATAGCCAACCTGCGTATTATGGCTCATAGGTCTGAAGGACCAGGTAGAGATTTATATGGGAAACCGGAGAAACACAGCGAATAGGTGCTCCCATCGAAGTACAAAGGGACTCTATGTGTGTGTTTGCATGTGGAATATGCATGAAATTACAGATTAACTACAGGAGATGTATAGTGATAAAAATGTGGTTTGGAATGGGCAGGGCTCTCATTACAGCACTGATTTTTTTTTTTTTTTTATCGTCGGCTTTCTATTATGAAATATTGGGGTGGTATTATATTAATACAGCTTTTTCCCTAAAGCTATACTTTGTTATCTATAATATGCTTAAAAATTTTCTGCTGGGGACAGAAAACACTGCAGCGGTAGTATGGGATGGGAAATAACAATAATAAGATAGGACCCCATTTAAAAAAAAACTGCAGTAGCTTTGCTGTATATTTTCAGAACTATTTTCATCCTTCCTCACAGGGGACAAAGCAGGAATTTTCACACCACAACCTGCTGTTACCGCTGCTTTGGATGCTGCTGCTCCACTGCAGCCTGAGGGCAAAGCTGGGTACATTTCTAGGCGATAGCAATTACATATCCTTTTGCACAACACTATATTGTTATTCTTTGAGAAGTGTTTCCTGTAGGTTTGCATTGGATTGCCTTATCTTAATGTACACCATATTATATTGGAAAGCATTCCATCACATTAAAATAGTTTGTATTGTCAAGTACAATACAGCGTATTGACGAAACGTAGCTTTATACTGCTTATATGAACTGTTTCATAGGAAAATCTGATATACGCTTAAAATATTAGGGTGTACTTCTTTATTGAGCCTAGAAGCTTAAACCCATTAGACATGATGTGAGTTTCTGTGGTTGTGTGCTACCTGCCCAGAATTGCAGGATACCCAGGAACACTGTACGTGTATAAACACACTTGCAGTCTGTTTATCAGATGAGATATTGAGCTTTGAATCTAACTAAACAGTTCATTAAACTGAACACGTCATCTGAACTGCAGCATCATTAACGTATCGGCGCAGAATGCAAAGAGCTGTGGTGTTAACAACTGCTACACCTGCAACCCGAGCTTTAGGATATAAATACTGCTTTTGAGGAGCAATGGCTTCGAAATTGGTGCAGAAATGTGATGTTTTGTTAAGCAGCAGATTAGTGATTTTTGTTCGCAGGAGAGAAGCTGGAACTAGCAAATGCTGTTACTGCGAATGTGTAACAGAAGTGAATACTTCTGTTAACGATTGCTGCAGAAGCTATGCAAAATAGCAAAATCAAAATATGTATGTACCTTGAGATGCTTCCTATGATTAAGGGACTAAATTACAAACATGACGACTAAATCATAAACATGATTTAATGAGGACAGTAATAACAGTAAAAATGAGCATTTGAAATAAGCCCGAGCCTGGCATTGCTTTGTTACTCAGATGCATTGATAAAGTCGCGTATCTCACCTTTACCCACGAAATACCAGAACATTTCTCCCTTCTACAAATCAGGGGTTGGTCTTTAATTTTGGTAGCGCGCATTCCACAGGTTTCCCTTTGTAGTTGGGTTGCTTCACATAATTCATCCGATGACCTTCAACTTTATGAGAAGGTGGAATACTTGCCAGCAGCAGCTGAAAGATGCGACATCTTTGCCTCAATTTATGCCAAGGACATGGTGGGGATGGCTCACCTTTTGCAAGAGAAACTTCAAATAGTTTACTGCGGTTCACATTGATTGCAAGGTCTGTGGTCCTCAAAGGGAACCCATAAAGTTCAATTAAAAATCTCATTAGACTAGTATAGGAGGATCAAAAAGAAATCACAGAGACTCATGGGAAATGGCGAATGTTGGGCTGATTAGTCCAAGGCCATCCTAAATGACTGTTCTGTGCCTTAAATAAGACGTCTTCAGCGGTCTGTTAACGGCAGTCATAGCTGCATACGTTGGGTTTTATATTCTCCCCGATTGTGTTATTGTTGAGGCTAAAGCCCAGCTAAACGTACAACTTCACACTCATACCCATCTACCCTAAGTCGAGGATATTATTCAGCCAAAATGTTTCAAACGTTGGAGATTGGAAGGAGAGGAGTAAGCGTGCATTTGCGAGTGGATTGTGAAGTATGGATTTGCAACGTTGTGGACACATAAAACTACTTGTGCCTTAATTCCGTCGGTGGCTGGCAAGAACCCGGGACACGTGCTGGGTCACACTGTTTCTGTCGGCGAAGAGGGGGAGAAAAAGCAATAGGACACGAGCAAACGGAAAGATTATTTTTTTGCTAAGTGTGATTCTTGTTGTGTGTTATAACTCGATATTTGAGCTGTTTCCATTACGGCCTGGCTGATCTGGTTTTGACAGTTTGGCAGTTTCTGGAGGCCTCCAGCCCATCAGCGGTATAATGGGACGGTCAGGTTGCCGTTGCCTCAAATTGAAAACTCTTAACGAGCGGAGCACCGCGGCAGAGCCCCGCTCCGCTCCGTCCGCAGACGGAATTTGCTAAATGCAATTCAAAGGCGATCGATACCTTGTGCAGGGAGTTTTTTTCCCCACCTTTTTTCTAAACAAAAGCATTATCGAGGAGTTAGTTTATTCACAGATTGCCACGAGCGTTAATGACCGCCCGAGTCTTGTTCTGCCAGTCACCCAGATGGCTGTTGATAAAGATTTAGCATCATGTTCTGAGTGTCAGGGCTGTCAGTAGTGCTGAACCATTTGACCAGAAGAAAAAACGCACAGGGAGCTATTGATTACAGCTTCTCAGTGTCACTTGTTCACCAGGATTTAGGTATTGATGAGGCTGCGAGTGAAAACAAGCTCTT